GCAGTGCTAAGTGGTGAGTCGCCTAAAGAACGCTTAGATATTACTAGAGTAACTGTGGAGAGTTCTGATAGTGTTCACCTTCAACCTCGGAAACTTCAATGTCGTCTTCGATCGTATCATAGGCTTTCATCTGGCTTGCAACTGCTGCTGCTCCAGAGGACATTGACCGAACAAAGCCCAAAGCGTTACCCATCTAGGGAAAAACATTACAGCTCAAGATCACCACGGCCGAAATACTTCACATGAAAACAATAAAAAAGGGCCAACCTGAGTGATTAACATTCTGAAGCGATCCATATAAGTAAGCTCACCACTTTCAATCGAAAGTTGTGAGAAGGCACGATTGAACTGCTCAGCCCGTTTGGGAGGAAACTAAACTCAACGGTACAGGAAACATCTGAGGGCACATTCCACGCTCATACTATGGGCGGAGACATTCGAACCAATGTGCCCTTCTCATTGGTGGACTCCTTCTTTTAGGGTGGAAAAAGTAGAAGGAACACCAACAAAGAAGGCGCAATCAACGCGCGACTCCGCCCACACCATAAGCGTGGAATTCGCTTTCAATCGACGAAAACTGGATATTTCGAGGCACGCTTAACCATCTTTTTTAGAGATTGCAGATTTTCTTGGAAATATCGGATATCCTTCTGTAGTTGAGCATGAATATGTTCGTCTCGGAGGAATTGATTGAAAATTCCAAATTTACTCCGGAGAAACTAAACATTAGTAGTTCAGGTAAAATCAAAATGTTCCAGACGGTCATCACCAACAGTCAAACAAGGCCTCACAATCAAACTGACCCTGGTTTAAGTTCTCGAAACTTACTCCCTGCCCAAGCAGTATTTCCAATTTGCATGGCGTATTTCACACAAGCTATGTGTCAATTTTGCTTCCCTGACTTTCAAGCGACATCTCCAGTGGTGATATGGAAGAAGCTCGCTATTTGCCTTGGGAGTGGCATTTTGCACTATCGTTGGTTTCCTTTTACTATATCATCTTAACGAACAAGTCTCATTCTGGTGAGACTTGTGAAACCTGTAAAATCCTGTTTCCTGGAGCCCTTATCTAGCATAGTTCAAAAACTCAAGAGTGTTGGTATATTCCTGAAACCTCCTGGAAAAAACAGGTGTGTGGGAAATTGCGGGACCAAACTAGAGCTAAGTTATTCACAATTTTTTGAGAAACTCTTCAGCTACTATATCCTTTGTTTATTTCTTAGTAACCAGTAAAGCCAAACCCGGTTCTGGCTCGACTAAAACTTCGCAAAATAGTATTAAAACGAACCCCATTTTTCATTTTGTTTTTTTTATTGCAACGGCCGTTTAACAAGTTGCCTTTTTCAAAATTACACAGTAGTGTTGAGAAACCTGATAGGTAATGTTGACGCTGGTGTTCAGCACCCCAAGGCCATGAGTTCTCATGGAATCTGCCATATGTTCGGCTGTCAGCACACGGACCCAGCATGCCCTGCTGTCCCCCCTTGTGGGTTTGTTGTGTTTTCGGTTCAACCTTGTCCATACCCCAGTGTTCATTACGCGTGACATTTCTCGATGGAACACCTGAACAATTGACAACAATTACTCCACGGCCACCACTTGCCACTTTGCTTACACGAAAACAGTACCTGCTGATTTAGACAGTAATTGAAATTTGCGACGAATTCCCCGAGTGATCGCATCACTTTTACCACATCCAAGCTCTGACCAATGGAAACAGTTCGGGTTTATTAAACACATTCCATCAATGAGGCTCAGTCCATACCTCAAATATAGGTCTAATATTTTATCCTTGATTCGAAGGCCGCGTTTATACTTCACTACGCGCGCGATTCCCAAAGCGTTGGTTTTCGCCAGCCAACCCTAATAGGACTCTCCGCAGACCGCTGGAGAAAATAAAAAAAAAAAATAACGTGCCATCGGTATAAATTCGCCAAGCGAGTGTAGAGACACACCTCACACTCACCACGACGGTGAAACATAATAAAATAACCGCCGTCAAAATTTTCTCTCAAACTGAACCCACTCGATCCCTCCCACGCCACGCACCAACTCCACCCTCAAATGCGAATCCTTCCTATGACCCCTCTGGGACTCTCCAACAACGTGCTCTGCTCCCAAATGCAGCTCGAGTTGGCGGTTACATCGGTCCAAGAACTAGCAGTGGAGCTCGCTCGATCGATTACGCAAAATTTAGGAATCGCTCGAGTCGCAAAGTATAAACGTGGTCTCAGTTTTCAGAGATTGAGGTAGAGAAGCTACACAGCGGAAATCAACTGGCAAACTTACCGCTGTTCAGCTAATGTGGCCATTTTACTGTATGCGTGGCGATCATGAAGGGTTACGGCGGTCAAATCATAGAAGGTCTTTTGAAGGTAGCAGGAAACAAATTCTGAAACAACAAAACCGAGTTCCATGCAGGTAAACCAGGCTTTTCACCTCTCTATAGCCAGATAATTAGCAGCAGACGCACTGTGAAAAAGCAATGCACTGTCAACCCCCCTTGTCAACTGTTCAGATCAAAGCAGCTTCAAATACGACTAAACTCTGTGTTGAAAGAGCATGCGTGGCGCACCTCAAGAATAAATCAATCAACCGAGCAATAATTTCATTTAAAGGCATAATCCGCGTTGATCCTATGGGTGGAGACAGACAACCACTGGGTCTTTCTCACTCGTACACTCCTCGCCTTCGTCGTCTCAAGAGGAACGCACCAATCAAAAAAACGCAAACTGACTGTCTCTGCCCATAAGATCGCCGTGGACAGTGCACTGGTGTAGCTTTCTACTTCGTACGCAGCGAGAGTTTAACCTACTGGAGCGCAGATAATAACTTAAGGCAGCGTTCAGACTTCGCGACGGCAGCGCTTTGGTCGCGCGATTCGACGATCGATGCGCATGCTTTCGACTGCATCGATCGCGTCGAACGCGCGACCGAAGCGCTGCCGTCGCGAAGTCTGAACGCTGCCTAACAAGTCACAGTGATGCCCTCAAAGTGGTCTCTTTCTATTCGGTT